AATCAGACCAACTTTTTTTTTTTTGAACCCACGTAATTACACGCTCACACCCCTCCTCCTAACACTCCTACCCACTCCCCCCTCCCTCCTCCTCTTCTTCCAACCATCCACAGAGCACCTTGTCTGTAGAATCTCTTTTAAAAAGCCATTCTTGTACTTTGGACCAGAAAAGAAGTGAGTTAATGAACAACCCTGCTTTAGATTTCACCCATCAAAATGTGCTTTAACTTTGCAAATATAATAAATGGCACTAAAACTTCCAATAGAAATATGGAATGGCACATACCATTGCACTGTACTGCATTGGATTTAACAGAAGCTTGACAGCCTGGTCGAGACACATTCACATTTGGCAACTTTTTTAGGACGGTAGGGTGGGTCGGGGTTTAGTAGGGTGGGGGGAGTCGGGAACTCCCGGCGTCCCTTCCCCCTCTTTTTATGCTCGTCTTCCTTCCGCTTCCAAGTTTAATTTTTTTGGTTTTGTTTTTGTTCAGTCAAGTTGATCCAAAAGGGGAGGCCGGCTCGGGTTGTCGTCCCCGCCTTCACTTTCACTGTGTGGCAGCTTGATCGCCAGCCTCGAGCCGCTGGACGAAAATAAAACAACGTAGTCTACAGTTTCCGTTCAGCAGGCCCTTTCAAAGTAAAATGTAGACGCTTCTCTTTCGCGAATTCGTCCACATCGAAAAAAGCAACCATTCGTTATATGTGCGGTTGGGCAAACGCACTTTTGAAAGCGTTTAAATACTTTGTTCAAAATAAAGTATTACAACAGTAAATGCTTGTTTCAATATTTTATTTTGAAAGGAAACTTCCTACACAAGCTGAGCCTAATTGGCTTGATGCGGATGAATTTTCCCACGAGGTTTGGCGTTCCGGGCGTTGATTGGCTAGGAGAGCAACCCTCCGCCCTTCGCCTCTCAAGGTCGGCCCCTGACTTCCGATTGCTTGACGTCTTTACGCGGTAGTCAAGAAAACATGGATATGGCGCCCTCGAGTGGCCATAAATATGACTGCGAATAACCTCTTCCCAAATTCAGGAAATAATTATGGCGTTTTTTTAAATACAGAACACATCTCTTGTCTTGTTATAGCGTCGCAGGTGAGCCGACTCTGGGTGAGAGTAAACTGGTCACCCGCCAATAACAGGGCACGTCTTGACAAGACAAGCGAGGAGAACAGTCAGACCTCACAACTGCGAGTCAGACGTATTAACGAGTACAACACGATATCGAACCAAAACAAACGTGCAGTGCTGTACTGATATTTCACATGAACATATGAGAGTCATGCTACACATTTACAAGCCTGATGTCATTCTTAGTGCATCCTGCCGGTGCAGTTTGTCCACTAATTGCCTCATACTTCCTTGGGGAACCTTTCACAAGAGTCCCCACTGCTCAGCCGCTCTCAACATCCAAGACCTCCAATTTTTATTCTAATAACACACGCACATTCTTCATACATACAGACAGACATATGCAGGTGGCACAGTGATTAAGTAGTTAATACGTTGGCCTCACAGTGCCGATGCGCATACTGTGTGTGTGTGTGTGTGTGTGTGTGTGTGTGTGTGTGTGTGTGTGTATATATATATATATATAAAAATACACTATGTATAGTACAGTATAAAATTTTGTTTCTAATCGGCACTAGATGACATCAGATAGAACTATAGCCCGACCTTTCTTAATTAATCTCCTCAAATGACTTCAACATAGTCCCTGGGCACCAAGATAAAAAACAGTCACCCAAGGCAGACAATAGTTTCACAGTGTGTAACAAGTCAATACATATTCAACATGGCAGGCCTCATCGTTGTGGGAAAGACGCGGGCCGGACAAGGAGCTTTTGTTCGGATGAATTATTATGCATCTAAGGATGAGCATTGACAATACGAAAACAAGAAAAGCAATCAGAGGACGTAAATGTACTCGTGTTCAGTATTTCAGTACAAATATTTGCGTAAAATAAAGTTGTGCTGTTTTTTTTCAGCCGTATCAAGTAAAATACCATCATAAAATTGAACACTCAGTTTTTTTTCAGCCGTATCAAGTAAAATACCATCATAAAGTTGAACACTCAAGTCAATTCCTGATTGACGTATTTCAGTAATTCTCAAGTTTTTGTACTTGCCATCAGTGCTTTGAGCCAAGAGGTCAAAAGTATTGAGTACTCACCATCCACCAGGTCCTGGTTGTCACATCATAACAAAGCTGCCACTTGACGGGCCGGTGGGACAAGTTGGCAGCCATGGCGGAGGACGGTAGACAGAGGCCTCCGGACTAGCTGGCCGGGGGGCGGGGGGCATCAGCGGAGGCAGCCGATGGTGCGCATCGGCAGCAGCTTGACTGCCGACTCGGACCCGAATGTGGTAATTCCACGAGTCGTGACCCTGCCAATGCCATCCCCCTCCAGTGGCAGACGCCCCCCCCCCCCACCCCTGAATGTGGCTTAATGACAACATGGAAACCTCCAATCATATTTTAATTCATGTGGCTGGCGTGAGCAACACTTGAAAGAAAAGCCACACGACAGAATCAGTTGCAATCAACACCACACAGTCCCACTATTCCTGCCCCCGGCATTCATTAGCAGAGCACTCTACTTCCAATATGGCCTTTAACTATTTCACAGGTCACCTAAACATTTCGAGGAAAAAGATAATTACAATTCAAAATAAGTCTTTCAAGCACCCAACTTGCATCCCCCCCATCAATATTTTCCTTACAGATGTGAAAATAAGTGCTTCCTTTTGCAAAAAATTTGGGTAAACAGTTGCCACAAAAAGCCATTTTTGGAGGGACAACATTTTGTATTTAGACAAAAGTAGTACTCTGCTGCAAAAAGTGTCAAAGTGAGCTGAGGCATTTCATCTCGACAAAAGTAGTATTTTGCTGCCATTCTGGTAACAAGGAACTATGTCAAAGTGCGTTGAGGCGTTTCATCTAAACAAAAGCAGTACGTTGCTGTCATTTTGTGCCATCTTGAGTTGAAGTGAGTTGAGGTGCTTCACTTAGGCAAAGTAGTGCTCTCCTTCTATCTTGCTGCACCGTGGTGCCAACAATGTTGAAGCGCTTCGTTTAGACAAGAGTGGTTTGCTGCCATTTTGCTGCCTCTTGGTTCCAAGGAACTATGGCCGAGTGAGTTGAGGCATTTCACTTTGACAAAAGTACGGTATCTGCAGACAATACTGACCTTTTTTAGGGGGTGTCAGCTCAGCACAAATTGCAGTTCACTGTATTCAGTCAGGATCCCTACTGCATACAGGGGGGGGAAAAATTGAGAAATTGACACCCTCCTCCACATTTTTATAACGGACTCTATTGTAACTATAAATATATCACAAAGCAAGATTCCAAGCCAGTTTCACATAATTTCAAACCCATCTTAAAAGGGTTACAAATGATTTGATTTTGTCATGCACGCGGCCAAGATTGGCACTTACAACCCAGGCTAAACGTAGCTCCACCCCAAATGTGCAAAGCTTGTCCTCCCAGTCCAGATGCAACACTTCAACATACTTCCATGAGACCAAAGTGCATTTACGCTCACGGTTGTTGAAAATCAAGACGGACCGACTGATGCCAACCTAGAGCTTTTGTTGCTACTTTTCAAATCTCCCAACCCACCAACTATTGGTGTCCAAAAAGCACCTTGCAAGAAATTTAGCTATTTTTAAAATGTGTGTGTGGAAACTCTTGAGCAGCTCACGCACACATTTCCTGGGTAATGTTCTGTGCAACTACACGATGATGTCACTTTGCAATTTAGCGACCACCAATGCTGAGTGGACAGGGAAACGCGGTAGGGAGACAGGCAACAAAACGACGACATTGAACAATGAGCTATGTCCAACTGGTGTGTGTGTATTTTGCGATGACATAAAGAGAACGTTGAAGTAAAAAAAAAAAATCGATACGATTCATTATATCTTGATGTGATTAAGCGATTCTCATCCAACTTTTAATTGGATTTCTACTTTCTACAATGAGAGTTTATTTGGAAAATCAATGGGTCAATCAATAGTTCTTGCGTCAAGAAAGTCGTCAGTGGGAATTGAGTGGAAAACCACCCTGGGCTAAATGAAACACGCGGGACATGTTGCTTGAACACCAATTACATTTCTGTTGTGTTTTCCAGAAAAGAATGTTCAAAGATGATCTTGAACGCAAGTGCGAAATGAACAAAATATGGGGAGCATCCTGGAGGCGGAGACATGGCAAAACTGGAACCCCGGAGCCAAATGAGCAACCGGGCCCAACCGCTCAGATTATATTCACCATCTACTTTCCACTTAATCCGTGTCTCGCAACGCCAAAGCGCGGCAGGTACACGCGGCCTGGAGACGTACACGGCAACACAAATTGATGTGATTATTTTCTTGATGATTATTTTCTTTTGTTCAACCAGATGTCACCGACAGCCCAAACAGCAGGTGGCCGCTAATTGAATTAGTCCACTTGAGCAACCATCCAGAGAGATTACCAGCTTCCCTCCGCGGCCGCTATCGAGGAGGGAGTCCTTTAGCAAATTAAACGTTGATCCCGTCTCGTTCGGGTTGACCTGATTAGATGATTTTATTTTGAAATTAATCAGGACGCGCGGGCGATAAAGTCACGCTGAGGTTATCTCGACCTGGATTTCGCAGAGGATTGTTGACCGTTAAACTTGTCGGTCCAGTCCTTCTGGATTATCAGCGCAAAAACTGTGCGTGTTTTCGAGAACACTCGTACGTCTGTTGAGTGCCGGTTACGCACGCCTCACTGAGATTTGAGAACTTCACAGGATAAAGGAACTGCCGCTTGGGCTCTTCGACTGATTCCATTCTTCTTATTTCCGTTGCATGCATACCTATTGGACGGCGTCGTCCAAAGATCTTGATGCAGAGTGATTAATTCTCCCCCTATTTGGACAAAACCACTGAAAGAAGTGCAACACAACACATTTAAATGGGTTTTCTCTCTCGAACAAAGAAAAAAAAAAGCCACGTTAGGCATTCCAAATTCCAGTGAAATACTGTTATTATCACATCGAAAGGTAAGGAAACGAACAAGAGCACTTGCCTAACAATTTGGAACACAGTGAAACGCAAGCAGAGGCATTGTTGAATTACATACAATCTTGATCATGTCATCATCTCGTTCTTTGGCGTAGGATTTCCTTCATGATAATCGCTGTGGCTTTAGATAAATAGGCAACTTGTAATATAAAAAAAATCTGAAAGAGATACAAGGAAAAAAGAAAAAGGGAAAAAAGAACAATGAAACAAAAAGGAAAAACTATTATTAAAAAATTGATTTTAAAAAATCAAAAGTATGTAAATCCAGTGTTATGTGAACATGAACAGTCAAACAGCACCCTTGTCCCCCCCCACCCCCAAAAACGATAATGAAATTTAAAAAAAAAAAAAAAAAAAACTCCCACTCGAAAACATAAAATACTTCAACACCCACTAAACAGTATCGTAAACACTCCGACCTGAAATATACCATTTTAAATAAAATACCGGCTCTGAAGAAACATATGGAAGAAAAACAACAACTTCAAGTGTCTTCAAGAGATCCAGCGAGGATCAGTGCATGATATTATGGAAAAAAAAATATTGATCGATTTAGTACAGACGCGTGTATCGTTGCACCCCTAATGTTTGTCAACGGTTGCTATATGTGTGCACGTGCATGTGCGTACAGTATCTAGACACAAAATAATCAAATCAACCTGAGAGGTTTTCCTTTTAGCAGCAGCTTTTCGGTTGGCGGGTGGCAGTCACGGAGGTACAGCTGCGATCCCAAGCGTTGAGTGAAGGCTGGGGTGGCGGGGCTACACGTGGTCTCCGTAAGAGCCGCCGGCTTGGAGCCCCCGCCTGCTTCGGAACGGCACGAACCACAGCGTCTTCCAGTGGGTGCCGCACACCTCGGCCAGGGCCCACTGCCACGATCTCCTCAGGCCATGACTGTGGAGGCGAAAAAGTCAGAGAAAAGAAGGAAAAGCAATCGATGCAGATCTGTAGAAAATTCCGCAGCCTTACATTTCACTGGAGAATGGTGTCATCTTCTCGATGGTGGTGGTATCCTATCAGGGGAGAGTCAGGTATTAAGACAGCCCCGGCACAGATTCTGCACGGCGCTCAAGTGCTCACCGAGAGGATGCCGACCAGCTGCGAATAAAACAAGGCCGACATGCCACCGAACATCACCACACCCATGAGCGCCGAAGCCCGCAACAGGGCCAGCTCGTGCCGCGTCGTGAACTTCTCCTGCCCGGCAAAAAGTGCACGGTCAAGGGGCGGGGAATCGTGTGACGTGGCGAAAAATAAATAAATACATATTCAAGTACCTGGTCAAGGTGCGTGAGGGGCTGAAAGTAATAGTACTGGCAGAAGTCCAGCACCAGCGTGAAGCCACTAAGGACTTGCGTGTAGAAGCAGAGCTGTAGGAAGAGCCAGTGGTTGTCTTCCCCCACGCAGTTATTGATCCTGGAGAGACAAAACGGTTAGAAATGTTACAGTAACATTTAGAATTGCTCAGATGTGTGGTTCACACTGGAAATATACCACTATTAGTCGGCGTTATGAGTAGAAATATTCGTACTTTTTGTTTTAATTCCACAAGGTTCAACTTTGGGGCCCTTGCTATTTTCATTGTATTTGCAGCCCTTAGGTTCCATGTGAGGAAAGTTTGGTATTTCTTCGCACTGCAATCAGATCTACTGTATGTCCTACCAAGCAAAAAGGGCGCGTTCTCTCTGAGGCCACTTTTGTCCTGTTCGGAGAGAATCAAAGTCTGAATGGCACCGAACTCCTTGAATTTCAATGAAAAAAGAAGTCCTGGTGTTTGGTCCCAGTGTGTTTGTCTTTAAATCTTGAAATGGTCTGCGCCCACCTTATTTCTCTGAGCTCCTCCACCCCTACGCACGTGCCCGGTGCTTTCAGGTCAATGGACCAGAGGTTACTGGAGGTACTGGGTACAAAGCGGCGCCTCAGAGGGGATCCACCCTTTTCTGTTGTTGGTTTCTCTCATTGGAATAACCTCCACCTAAACTGTCCATTTTTTTAAAAACTCATCTTAATACGCAGTTTAATTCAATGGCTTTCGAGTCAGCATGAGACCCGCCATTGTTTTTGTGTTTTAAGCTGTTTGCTGTGTTTTAATTTCTTGTTTTAATTATCTTTGTTTTGGTATGTATAATTTGATACACTTCGAATGTACGGAAGCGTGGAACTGCCGATGTGGAATAAATGGGGCTTGCGAATATGTTTGAACATACTTGCAAGTACATTCAAAAGTGCATTTTTTCGCATAATGCCATGGAGTATACGCATCCCCAAAGTCAATACCCTGTGCCATTATAGGGGGAAAAATGTGGAATGGAAATCATGCTTTGCAGAAATAACAAATCACAAAAAAATATGAATAAACAATGGTTAGTTAATTTTTAAATGAATTGATATAATGTAGAGCAAAAATATATACATATTTTTTACTAGCAGAAGTCAATAGCCTATGGCATTACGGGAAAAAAAACATTCAAACGTCCTTGCAAATGCACATAAATGTATTTGCCACTTAAATATGCTTACTCCACATTGGCACTTCCACGCTTCAGTATGAATGGGACACCAACATCTTTGTGTGTTGACGAGGAGCTTTTTTTTTTCTAAATCAAACTATCTGAGAGCAATTCATTTTGGAAGATAATGTTATGAGTGCGAATATATTTACAGTGGTCTACTTGATATGCCGCACGCCTCTAAAAATGGACGACAGACCGGAGATGGCTCACGGCTCGGACTTTGCACATCGCTTCCTGAAAAGCATCGGGCTACTTGTTACCATGGACAGTGGTGGTCCATCCTGCGCACGCAGTGACCACAACGACTGCAGTGATGGGTCCTTTTGGGCCTCATGAGGTTGCACTTGTTGCACAATTCCCAGTGCTCTCGCTCTGAAACACAAAGGCAGCATATAAGGGGTCGGACTCATCCCCTTCATGTCCTGTTTACATACCAGAGTGAGGTATATGGGGGTTCATAGGAAGATGACCAGGGTCTGCCGTGGATGCCCTGAACAGGGCCGCGAAGCAGAGTGCTGACGCGGCGTAATAACCTAAAGAAAACATTTTTAACTGGGACTTCTTTTAAATAAACCCCTTTTTGTGACGAATCTGTGACAATTTTTTGGAGCGTGTAGTCCTTACAAATTACTATAACCCAGGGAATGTGGCCTTCTCTGTAGTGGGGCAACAGAACCAGCTTGGGAACGAAGAAAGAGTTGTAGAGCCAGACCCCAAACACAGCGCTGACACACAGCCACCCCATGGGGTCCACCACAAAGTGCAGTCCGAGTTTCATGGCTGTGCACCTCCAAGGAGACCAGGATGAGATCTACGAAAGGTCATACATGACACCAGATACACAAATACATTCAAGAATTGCGTAAATGGACAATGTGGGATTTGTGTTGGCTCACATCCAGAGTCCTCAATCAACTTTTTAAAAAATGACTTCCTAGTACTTAAGATTTGAAACAGTCGGAATTATAATTTGAAATGGTCTTTCAACAATTTTACAATTTATACATTTTGGGGTGATTTTATCTCAAACACCGGAAAATACTGTGCATGACACCAGCTTCACTTAATTCAGATTTTAGATAGAGTTTAAATAGATATTTTGTCAAGAACCCCAAATGAAGACGACTGTGTTGTTTTTCTTCAAATGCTTGGTAAAAGAGGGTACCAGCAGAGCCACTAGCTAGCATACATTTATTACCCTTTAACAACCGCACGAGCTTAGCGTAAAAATACAAAAACAGCTTTTTTGTAATAAAAAGTTCCATTCAGTCACAACTATTACCAAAGTCATTTTCTGAACAATAATTAAAAAAAACATACTTTTTTCGTGACGTCCTATTCGCCGTAGGTGGCCTCGTCAATACTTCCGCATTGAAGTCTCCGTGGACGGGAGAGGAAGTGTCGAACCAAGAAAAAAAAAACCCTCCTGGTTTCTTTCCCACAAAATAAAAGCATTCGTTCATAAGTTAGATCGTTGAAAAAACCTGCATATAAAGAAATGTATTGCGATGGATTACAGGGCCACACTATCATTATATCATTGTTTTATTACTATCATTGTTAAGTTTTCATCATTTCATCTTTGCACGAAAAAAAAAAACACATTTCATGAGCTGAAAATCCCCCCCCCCCAAACCCACCACTACAGTTAGAGTTTGCTGAAAAACACATTTAAAAATCAACGTAAATTACAGCAATGTTAAAACTAAACAAAAATAATGCGAGATAAAATCAAAAAACCCTGAAAGACATAACAGCAACAGCCAGAATAATCATTAGAATACGATACCCAGCACCTTAATACAATGATCAAGTTTGAAAGAAAAACTGACTTAAAAAATCAAAAGGAAATAAAATTAACAACAGTGTGTCATCATGTTAGAATGCAGTGACCAAGCCTTGTCCCGTTTCCACCCCTCTGTGTGTGTGTGTGTGTGTGTGTGTGTGTGTGTGTGTGTGTGTGTGTGTGTGTGTGTGTGTGTGTGTGTGTGTGTGTGTGTGTGTGTGTGTGTTTTTCTATGCTGCTTCAACAAACCGGAGGCGAGCACGGAGAAAAAAATTTGAATTGGGACTGAACAAGAAATGTGTCTTGGCTGTTAGAATAAGGGGGAAGAATTTCAAAATGGCAAGCTGGCGTCATCACCGCCACCATTGAGAAATCCTCAATTTGATAAAACGATGTCAAACGGTGCACGACAACAACAACGACAAAAAGGCAGCAATGATATAAACTGACATGAACCCACCGAAACGAAAACCCAAAACATTTTAGGAATCCCAAATTATTAGAACAACACAAAAAATATATTAGCAAACGAAAAGTATGTGAGAGTTATTCACCATTGGTTTTTGGTGATCGTTCCGACACTCATGTACACGCTGGTTGTGTGTTCCGCTCTTTGGGACCAGTCAAATGACGAGGTAAAGTGTATGTAAGAGGTGGGGGTGGGGGGTTTAGACAGTTAACCCTCTTTTCCAGTGCACAACTGTGTCGAAAAAAAAAAAGCCGTAAAAGAAGGAGAATACACATTTTGTTTCGGGTATTAACATCAGGTCAAACTGGCCTGGTCTGACCTGACAGAAATCAGAGGTGGGCGTGGAGGAAGGTCTAGTTTGAGCAAGGGGTGAAGAAGGCAAAACCGTTTGTGTGTGTGCGCGTGTGTTTATATCGGAGTCCTGGCTCAGCTGAGAGCCTGCTCATGCGTTTCGCAACACTTGCGAGGAAAACTCCAGCAAACTAAGGCTCCGCGTTTCATCACAAAGTTTCAGATGATCCTTCAAAGAGAATGTCCTGCCCGGAACCGTTCTACTAAAATAAAAATAAAAATAAAATAAAAACAATAATAGTAAAATAAAATTTAAAAAGGACTGTTGAGAATAAATAGCAAGAAAGTGATAAGAGCGCTCAGGAGCAGATCCGACATGCAGTGGAGTGGTGACGAAAAAAATCAAAACCAAAAATAGAGAAGAACCGACTGCCTTGGAATCGGAACCTCGAGAAAGTAAGGTGAGAACGGCTAGCCCCGCTTGAAACCACTGGCGTTCATTAAACTGGACCCCCACCCCCCTCGTTGGCTCACCCCACTCAAAACCTGCTCCTCCATCCGCCCTTCAAGCGCCGCCCTCCCGGCCGCTCACAGCTTGAGCTCGTTGGCGATTTTGGACGCAATGTTTTTGAAGGCGATGGACGTGCCCGAGATGCGCTTGAAGCGCACGCCGTTGAGCGACAGCCGCGGCAGCTTGCACACTTCCATCTCCCACTGGACGAAGTCGTCGCGCGCCGGGTTGCCCGACACGCACAGCAGCATGTAGCGCTCGCGCAGCTCGTACTCGCAGCTGTTGGAGTCGAGCACCTTGCGGATCTCGCGCATCATCTCCGTGGGCTCCATGGACGACGTGGTCTTCATGGACCAGGTGAAGCGCAGCGATCGCGGCTTGGCTGAGTCCTTCTGGCCGGCGATGGCGGGAGGCGTGCCCGTACCACCTGGGGGTGGGGCAAGAAGACAACAACGCCTCGTTGCAATGGAAAAAGTACAGTTGCTACGAGGAAGAAGTATGTCGGGCAAGAGCTAAGCTTAGCCTGGGGTAGCGTTAGGGCTACAACTACTGAATTCATATTAACAGCTATGTAGTGGAATGCAATTTTCAAATCATAAAGGCTGTGATATGAGGGGGGGGGGCTTCATTTGGGTCAGTCTGTAGGCTTGATGCATGCATGCACACACGTATGTGTGTATTTATACTAGTGTTGTGCATCCTGGCAATGGAACACAATTCGATATATTTTAAAGTGGAACGATTCCATTTGGTTCGAATCTGATTCATGGTATGCTGAAATGTGTTTGGTAAGACTGCATAAAGTTGTTGTCATGAACGGTTAATAGACTACAAGTCAAAATGCTGAGAAAGGTCACTATGTGAGTAGACAAGCTGTTTTTCATTTTAAGTTATTGTTCATTTGCCTTTATTTTAGCGTAACCCTAACCCAGGGGTGCCCGACCCGTGGACTGGTCGCAAGTTGATTGTGTGAGGGGTTAAAAAAAATTTTGTGTCCGTGCGCATTGTTATGAATTGTATATATAGTATTAGTGCACTTGAAGCATCCTATCAGTTTCACTTTCACAAAAAAAAGTATTTAAAAAATAACATAAGATGAAAAAAAGCAGGTCACATTTGGTTGCACCTGACAATAGCGCTCTTCTGAGTCGGACTTATTGCGATGCAGTCGTACATACCGGTGTTCCCAGATCCTGGTGAGGAGTTGTTCTCGTCATTGTTGGACGACGAGGAGAGAACGCCGCCGGACGTCTTGTCGGACTTGTCCACGTTGCTGCTCAGCATGGATCTGGAGGAGGGGCAGGGGGTGGGGAGAGGGACAGAATTGTTTGAAAATTCAAGTACGAATAAAGATGAGGGAGACGATGAGGACAACGAATGAAGACCAAAAAAAAAAAAAACAAAAACAAAAACAAAAAAACAATTAGGTACCCCTGTGCGTGATTGTGTGCCTCTCTCACATGACTGGGGCACACAAGCACACATTTGGGTGCAGAACGGAGATGATTTCCCTCACGCGCACGCACCCACACACCCATGCAGGATCACCTCCACACCATCACTCGCGCCACTAATCTGCCATCCTGATTGGTCGAGCCGTTACCACCATCACCACCCAATTAAAGCCCAGCTCAAAGATCATCTACTGCGCTTGACGTCGGTCTACTGATTGGCGGGTAGGCGGGGTGGGCTGGTTCGGTTCTGTAGCTCACCTGCTCCCTTCTTCCCGACCCTCTCCCTCATACGGACTCCTCGGGAGAAATCAACACAAGTTTAGTCTTTTTGAGCCCCTGACAGTAAACCGCGTGCAGTCCCGCCAAACCCAGCCAAGTCAAATTCCACTCCAGCTTTGAGGAAGGCTTGCGGCTATTCCAAGAGTTGAGGACTACACAGCTCACAATGCTTTGCCAGCACACTCGGCAAAGCCGGGTGACGTGATATAAGAGAGTGATGGGCTTGAATAGCAGATTGATAGCTCATCATTGACATGAGTACGGTTGCATCACAATCTAAATATGACACACCAGGACAAGAAAATATTACGTCAGTTGTTGCTTGTCCCCCACAAAAATAATTAAAAAATAAAATAAAATGGTTTATAGAAAAATAGGGTCTGGGAAATCTTGGGCTCCAGTTGACATGCTCATTGCAACATGGAAGGAGGCAAAACGGCTTTGCGGCATCGAGAAGGAACACGAGAGCAATACAAGATTTCGTGGTGCCTTGAGATATGAGTGATCCGCCATTTTGTTTCTTTGACTTGCAAGTGAATAGTGAACTTGGCAAAGAGTGACAAATTTCACACACACACACACACACACATATATATATATATATATATATATATATATATATATATATATATATATATACACACACACCCACTGTGTGTATATATAAAGCTTCAAGCCGTTTAAAGCCACTCACAACTGCCAAACTAACAACAAACTTACGTGTCCATCCATTTTCTTCATTCCTGTCGCAGATGCGCTCAAGCCAAGATTATTAATTCATGAATGAAATAAAATAAGAATTAAAAAAACAAAAGAACTAAAATGATATATAATGTCCTTTTTCCTACATGAGCTTTTCGGGCTTATCTTAAATGAAAAGTCTTGTCTTTTGGTGCTGATGTTCTGCTGCAGAGTCAGGTTGTAAATTATGTTCTCACACAATACTAATCGTGTCCTTTTCTTAATCCTACAACTAGTCTCTTTGTAAACTGAAACTGTAGCCAAATCAAGGCTACACTAAAACAAATCAATTTCGCGAAAAAAGAAAAACTGTGGAACATGGCCCGAAAACCGATGAAAACTAACTGAATTTATATCAGCCCAAATGCTACCACAGCAATATATGTATCCATTAAATACAACAGTACTGTTCTGGATTGTGTCTTCGGTACTTTTGGAGGCGTCCGTGTGCACTCGACCCAGCTGTGTTTTATACCGCCCCCAAGTGGCCTAGGCAGGCAGCAGCAGCACAACGGCCATTTCGATTGATGCATCTTTTGACTTTTATGAGGCACCACTGTATGTTTATATACAGGACAACATTCTGGAGTACTATTACAAACACAAAGCACCTTTTTTTTAAAACTGTTGTTTTCGGGGGAATGTTGGAAGAATGGCATTCCCATTCATTTCAACGGAGAAAGCTGACTCGAGCGTGGTCACGGCGCATATTCAATTTGTATCTCAAGGCACCACTCTGTCTAAATGTGGAAATCACATGTTCTGACCATCAGATGGCGCAATGGTGCAGCTTCACAACTTGGATCAAAATACAACACGAAAAATGTTTAAGAGCAGCAAGTCGGATGGATGACTTCTTTCTCCACTGGAAATGTAAAGGCTATTCAGACCATGACTTGCATCATGCAAATATACATTGCGCACGCGCGCGGGCGTGTGTGTGTGTGTGTGTGCGCGCGTGTGCACAGTATTAAAAGTGTCCAGCCAGAGAAGGTCAAAGCCATCCAGTTCTGTTGCTGCCGCTGTTATAGAGAGGCAGTGAGAGGAAAAAAGAGTGATAGAGTGCAGCCTCCGGAAAACAAAAGCCCCATCCCTTCGGGGTCCGCTCCTCCTTTCCGCCTCCATCCACTCCCCCGACTCGGTAAAAAGAGGAAGAAACTGGATGACATTCATCATTCATGTAGGCCTCTTTTCCAAGGGGGAAGAACACAACATGTTGCATCTGCGGCCAAGACAGGAAGGTAGGAAAACACTTGGCCTGTTCTCATTTCTCACACTCTACCTGGCAGTTAATTGTTGGTGTGCCGGTGTGTGTGTGTGAAGGGGGGGGGGGGGCGAAGAGAAGGAGAACTGAACTGAGGTGTTACTGTGTCGCGTGATGGTGATGACAGCGAGCAGGCGAGCGAGTGAGTTTGGTGCGTGGGCAGGTGAGGAGGGACATTAGTGGCGTGAACAAACCCCCCAAAATAAATAATAAATAATAAAGAAAATACAAAAGGGGCCAAACACAGCTCAACTCAAAACCAGAAGGAGCTTAAAAAAAAGGGGGTGGGGCCCAACCACAGGAAATCAATAAATAGGAGAAAAGATAAGGCTCAAGGCACAGGGAAAGAGTTCAACAGAGCTGCACAAAACACCAAAAGGGGAGGAAATACTGATATGTAAAATAAATATGAAGAAGAGGAGAGTACACGATATATCAAGGCTTTATAGTTTACGTTGGGGGTGTTGGCCTACCTTCGTGGAAACCTGAACGAGAGATTTCTACAAGAACAAAAAGAGGGATAAGAAAGAAAGAGAAAGAAACGTACGTATAAACGTGTGTAGTCACGACACGCTGCCTTCTCAAGAGCAAAATTTGGCACTCAAAGCATCGGGACTCATCAACGGCCTCCGCAATTGCTTTTATCAATGCCGCGGTTCATGTATGTGCTCGGACAATAGCAGACGCACAACGGGACATGATGCTTTCGAGCGGCTTGATTGCCACACAGTGATGTTGCAACGCTGGTCGAGGTGATCCTGAAAACAACCGCCGCGTGAATACGGGCGGCACGCTGAGAGGGAAACGCACACTTTCCACGGTGAACAAAACAACACGTTGAGCACACACAAACAAAACCAAGACGACCACATGCACTGAAAGAATCAGCAGCGACCTCATGGAGTAACGTTTGTCGGATGCGTAGCTTTTAGGTGCACAATCGGTCAATTCCCCGCCCCCCCCCCTCTCAGAATTTTACTGCCTACAACTGCACATTCAATAGTTGAAAGTCAAATAAAGTTCATTTGGAAAAGGTTTGAATGTATTTTAGCCCTCATCCCTCCGAGCCTGATATCCGTAACTTTTTTTTTTTTTTTTTTATTAAATGAGTCCTGAATATCAATAAAGTGCACCGACTGCAATCAGGTGAAACGCACGATGCCTAAAGTCTGCCAGCCCAACTTCCTTTCCACTGCGGCAAGTTGTCATGTGTGACAAGGTGTCCACGCCTGCAGTATTAATAGTTACGGGAAGAGTGATCTGCGCTGTAACCATGGTTACCGTCACCACAGCGTTACAGTAGCTCTGCGTGGGAGGACCTCGAGAGTGCCTGTGTGGCCGCACGTCCGCCCCCGCGCACGGGCGGGGACGTTGGATCGTTCCTTTGCCACAGCGCTCTCGTCGCTCAAGGACTTCCTTTGATTTAAGCCGACCACTTCCTGCTCCATCGTCCCCTTCATCTTGGATAACAACAACGCGGCCTCCAGCCTCACGGTTACCTTTTTTTTTTTTCGGGTGGGAGGGGGCTCGCTTGGCCTGCTCCATTCTTTAAGACAGTCCGCCAAGCAATCCCACTTAGCTTCCTTTATTTTTTTCAATTGCATTTTTTAATTTAATAACTTTATTTTTTAAGATTAAAATTCTTTTAATCTTTAAAAAACAATTTACATTAAATAATTGATTAATTGGCAAAGTAAACCAATTCATACATGCATTTATATTATCAAAAGTCCTGTATGGTTAAAATGTAGTGAATTTGTGAATGGTAAATGTAATTATTATTTTTCCGGGGCGGAGCCAGAACTTTTCCGTGGGGTGCCTAGGGTGACACGACAACTCACTATAAAATCAAGTCAGAGGTTGTGCCTCGGCTCCATGCAGTGCACATGGCCGAGAAGTCCTTGCTGATCATCCCATCAACAGTCAGGGTGTTATGAACTAAAATGCACACCTTGCCCAACACGCTCATCATACAAGCAGGAACTCAGCTAAGTCAAGCTATGTTTTGCTGAGCTTAATTCACTAGATTGTAGATCATTTAACGATTCATACATTTTTTTGGGTAATTTAAAATTGTAATCGATGAAATTATTTTGTGTAAATATTAAATTTGCCATTTGAAAAAGAATTACAATTCATTAATCATCAATAACATGGTTCAAAATGAGTATACATGATCTTCGGAAAAGAAAGTCTTTGACCTCATCTACAACTGACCTGGATTCTCTGGCTGAGGTCAAAATCAACATTGGTGAAGGCGGTTAAAATTTCATCTCGCCTTACGCGCATCCGAATTAACCGAGATGGGACTCAAAGTGTGCCTCAAGTCAAGAGTGGAACGCAAAACCGCAAAGACTCCCGCCGCGTGGAGCAAAATTATGGCGGAGAGTCCGCTGCTCGGACTGCGTTCGACACTGCTCGGACACGTCGGCAAGAGCGCATCGACGGACGGGCAGGAGCGGCCGCCGAGCAGAGATGACATCGCCGTACAGTAGGTGGTTCCTCGGAGGATGTGAGCACATTAAATGACATGTAACATAAACCTAGTTATTTTCTGCTCAGTCTGAAACCTCAAAGGGCCCAAAAAAAGCTCAAGCTGTACGCGCACTTCAAGGAAGCGGCTGCTATCGCGACGGCTTTCCACTCGCGGCGAGGTTTATTTCTGTCACGCTCATCCGCACGAGCAGAATTTGGAACTCTTGTCATCTTCTGCCACGTCCACTTCTCCTACTTCCTTAGACGCTACCATTTAATTTGATTTTTTTTCTTCATTTTAGCAAACTTCTCTTCAGCGCCACTCACCTGCGCACGAACTTTGACGTGAACTTGCTGAAAATCCCCGTGGCACCGTGCGTCCTGCGGGCCTGGCTGTTGCCATGCGAGAGCGACGGCGACGCAGGCCCGCCGGGGTAGGCCGAGCCCTGCTGGTCCCGGGCACCCCGTTGCTGGCCCGCGTGGAACGTGCTGCGGATGCCCACCCCCCGGGAGAAGTTGGTGCGGTCCGTCACCGCGGCGCTGCTGATGTTGTGGGCCGACGGGGAGGCGCCGGGTGCCCGCTGAGGTGGGGCGCTGCAGGAGAAAGTGGAGGGCGGAGTGGGTGAATCATGAGAGGAAGTCAAAGGCGGCAAGAAAAACACGAACAGAAAGCTCGCTGGCACTACGAGGGACGTATGATGGAAAAGGCATTTTCTTCACTGCCTCGGTAATCCCATGACAAAATTCAATCAATTCACAATTCACCAATGAGCAACTCCCGGCCGACTATGGGGAAAAAGGCTTGGTGTGTATGAGGGAAAGTAGAACAGCTTCAGATTGTGGTACACCGGGTGACAGAAATATATCAAGACACTTTGGTATCACTTGAATGCCCCTTTCTTCTGGCGGGACCGCTTCGGGGCAGTGTACGATAGACGGGCCTAATGTGAATTTAGACGTCTCAGCTCATCTGTACGATACTAATATTAGTCATTCTTGGCAGAGGATAAAGAATAGGATGGTAGTCACTGTTACAGTTGTTGCACAACGAGCTTTTTGCACCATTATGATACTGAACGATCAGTAGTCATCACATCTTTCGTTCCATGAACCACACGCTCAGTTGTACACGTCATGTGTAGGCCAACAGAATGTGAACATTTTGAATGGCCATGTATGCAGCTGAAACAGGTAGACTTCCACATAATATTTTAATACATTATAATCAGGCTGGTCTTGAAAAAACTGTTTTGGGGGGAGGTGAGGTAGTGGCTACTGCACTCCTCTATGGGTATGAACAATACCTTCGCTCCTGCGCTCCCAACCAGGTTCTGATCGGCCCGACCGAGCTCATTGCTGAAGGACGCATGTAACATAATGAGACTTCAACGTGGAGCAGACTAAAGCCTCAAAGAGCTCCGAGGGCCACCTTGACATTTACTCGGTGTGTTGTTCTTTTAAATCTGCTGAAAAAGGTCCTGCTACTTGTACAATATTGAGAAAATATTTGGGAAATATCAAAGGGGCCAATAAAGAGACTAAAACACGCAAGCCAAAAACAACAACAAAGCTCACACGCCAACGCACCATCAATGAGACCATGTGACATTCGTTCTGAGATGGAGACAGGTGTTCCCCAACCTTTGGCTGCAGTCAGCCGAAAAACAACCACATGCATTGCGTCTACTTTGTCCGGGCGTTCCCCCGAGCAGCAAAGGGTGCACTCAGCATCCTCATGGAACGCTCCACTGCATTTCTAGATTCACAACCCACAATTAACTCAACAAAAAAAAAAAAAAAAAAAAAAAAAAAAAAAAAAAAGAAGGTTCTCCCCGTTGCCAAAAAAAAA